AAGTAGGGTTATGTCTGCAGACTGATGGTTGTAGGTGGACTTCAGGACGTCTCAGGTCCAGTTTGAGAACTGATCCAGAACCTCAGGTTAAAAAGAGACCAGTTGTGTTGTTTGGATCATTAAACAGATCCTGGTTCTGAAACCTCAGCTGCAGCTTCAGAGGTGAACTTATTTCTAACTCCTGATTTTTTAAATTTTATTTCTTGTTTTCATCGTCCTGCAGCTCTGACAGAAAATGCATTTGAAGTTGAGTTTTTGATAAAAAATCATTACATTACTCTAAATGTCTGTAAATCTGCAAAATGAGGCAAAATCTGTGTAAATAACAGACATTGTGTTCAGATGAGCAGCTGTCAGTCAGCACCTGTCTGAACCAATCACTGATCATCTGACTGATTTAAATACATCTTAACATTCATGAGGTACTTTACATTGACTGTTTATGGTTGAGTGTGGGCGTGTAGAGGGTAGAACCTGAGGAGGAYCTTATGGTTGAGTGTGGGCGTGTAGAGGGTAGAACCTGAGGAGGGACCTTGTGCACAAACTCTGAGGTGAAGATGTGATTTATAAAAGGTGCAGAAACATGTGTACACACGGTTTTATAAATCTGAAATTTTTTTGGCGTACGTCATTTTCACCTTTTGGCCGTAAGTTCATTTTTAGTATGGTTTCCATGCAGTCTTTTATAAATCTGAGCCCTGCTGCTTCTCTGCCTCTGCTGTTTTTAACACAATCATTTATGAAGCAGAAAATGTTTTTTATTGTTTTGCTGGTTTTATATAGAAACTGTTTTTACACTACAGCTACAGAATGTTAGGATGCTCATGTTTTTTTTTTCTTGATTTCTGTAACAGGATCTATTCTTTCACTGTACCTGTGTCACTGGTCAGTGTTGCCCTCCTCTCTGCCTCTTGTTGAATGTAGGAACATATTTTGGACACAGGGGGCAGAGTTGAGCCAACATTCTACCCAACAAAAACCTTTTAACAACATTTAAAAGGATATAAATGTAACCTGTTTCTGTGAGGTCAGCTTTATTTTGCTCTTGGTCCTTCTTTATCCAATTATAAAAAGATTTCTGCTTCGATTGAACCACATTTTTCCTTTTGAACGCACTGTTCGGCCTCACTGCCCACCCATCAGCTAAAACAGTTTTATATTATTAATCTTATTAGATATTTAGCCGAATGGCATATCCACAAATACTGTTACACTAGTTAAAACCCTCTTTCCTCTATTTCTGTAAATGAAGTCAGACAATATATTAAAACTATCAGATATTCTAYGAACATGAAAAGCATTAAAACTTGTACTTTATGTGATCTCTTTCATGTTTTTGTGCAACATTTTAATCTAAATCAGTGTTTCCCAAAGTTGGGGTCGGGACCCAAAGTGGGGTCCTGAAACATCAAGGTGGGGTCCTGAAACATCAAGGTGGGGTCCTGAAAAGATTTTCTAAATTAATTACATTCTTTGCTTTAGTTGCCTAAAATGTTTAAATGTAGAATAATAAATATTGTTAC